AATTGCATGAAAGCCCCACAAGGACCCTAATTGATTAGGGTGGCTGATTTTGAAGCAAAGTAATAAAAAAAAAATTTCAAAGTTTTGTAAGTGGGGTGTGTGTAATGGAATAAATCATTACACACCAAACCCACTATAATTTCTTTAATTTTTCAAAATAAATATCTAATATATTTAAACATAAGAAATATTTCAAAACAAAAACTTTATGAAATAAATCAAAACTTTGAATCAAAACACCAAACCTTTTGTTCTTGGCAAGAACATATCAAGAACAATGAAGAACATTCATGAAAACCCATAAGAGCTCCATGAACATTCTTCACCCAAAAACATACCAAAACCACTCAAACTTAAGGGAAATAACATACAACCATACTAGGGTACATAGGGGTTCCAAAAGTCACTTTAAAACACTTTTAACAAGTCAAACAAGAACCCAAAATTCCACCCTTTGGATTTGGCCGAATTTCCCCAAAAACATGGCACCAAATTTTAGCTCCAAAATTCATGCTCATATGAACTACATCTACAACATTTGAGATGGCAAATTTTCTAACAAAATTTACATTCAAAGAAGCAAGAATAAAGCTTGTAACAATTACAACATTCAAATCACAAACTATGAACTACAAAACCCAAAAGGATTCACCAACTACTAGACTTAGGCTCTTGATACCACTTGAAGGAAAATTTGTGAAAAAACATGTTCATTTAAGCAACATCAATAGCATGCAATTAACAATTAAAGGCGGAATCATGCTTGTATGCACTTAAAACAAAACATTTACCCATGAAATTCAAAGCCTAGTAGATAGGTGAATCAAGACTCAACTCAAAACAAAGTGAGTTGAGAAATCAATACCTTTGTAGATTCCTCTTTGCATAAGCAAAGGCTAATCACCCAAAGAGAGGGCCTTCATTCCTTGCATCTTGGATCCATGGATTTGGATGGATGAAAAGGTTTCTCCAAGTTCCCAAAATTGAGAACCTCTAAGTCTCCACACCAAGGTATATTGAAGAAGAAATGAGTGACCTAGAGGAAGTAAGATTGCTAGATTTTCCCCTCTAGATTGGCCAAAATTTTAGAGAGAAAGGAGAGCTTGTGTTCTCATCCTTTCCCCCAAAAATAACCCTTAGTAAATTTTAGGCTATAAAGTCCTTTATATAGTCTCTTCAAATAAGTGACCTAATGGACCAAAAGCCCTATTCTTTTACACATGGCTAGCCTATAGGTTTATTGGGCTTTCAAGCCCTTTGTTTTATTCAAGTTGTCATACAACTTGAGTTAATGGACTTGACATTCAAATCCCATTGGGCCTTGCGGCCCAAAACTAACCCGAGGTCTTTAACGAACTTATTCGTTTGATTAATTAACATATTAATTAATCCTAGCCTTAGATAAATAATTAAACCATTTAATTATTCTTACTCATCTCCGTTGTTTCTTCAAACTCTACCTTACACGGTGTACGATCCATTAGGTTCCTTTTAGCGAGGCAGTGGGCGATTCAAACTCTTTCAAATCGATTGTGAATTGAAACTTACTTTCAATTCTCCCGTTAGTGATAATACACTTTTAGGGCTTCCACAAACCATGAGTGACACCTAGCAGCATATCATGGTTACCCAAGCTAATCAGAAGAGGTGGAGAACCTATTCAGTTTAGGATTACAAATGCAATACGGTCTTTCTCTAATACAATACTCTTGACCACATTGTTTGGATTGATAGTTTATTCATGTCTACTATCCAATGTGAATCTTGTGCTTATATGATTACCTTGAATGTGATCTGGAACGCATTCCAACATCTCATTCATACTCTGGCCAGAGATTCCAAATCATATCATAGAGTATTCTCCCTCAAACAGTTTGAAGGTTAGAGATCCCTTGTTGCGCATTCACTTGCCTCCATGGCTAAGTGGCTTAACCCCAACGATGCCGTGGACACCCTGATAGAGTGACGTTGACATAATCAAAGATTAAGGACCTAACCACAAGACAACTGTGATGCCTCAGGTCAAAAGACTAATTTGCATTATCCCAACCATGAGTTCTCATGTGACATGAATATGAGAACTCTTCGTTGATCGTGTTCAGTGAACTCATTCTCTATTGAGCACCTACGTACTTGTCTTGATGTCACACACACCAATGACTCGAGACTAGTCACTCTCCCTGAGAGAAGACATAGCACGTACTGATCTTAACGGACTGTCAATGCCCAATTGACAATCCTATGATCAGGAACGTTTAGGATGTGTCAACGAAAGAATGGTCTCATGAATCTAACTTCTTTAGATCGCATTCTTCCAATCACATATTCCTTGGACTTATCGTTTAAGCATATAACATTTATATGAGACGGCTCAAACAATAATGTTTGCCCTTTAAACTACATTAGTTTGAAATGTCCGTAAAGTATCATCATATGATTGGTTTTAGGGCACATTTCCAACATTGACTTGTTGATTCAAATAGCTTTATTAGTCAACAATCCAACTCATAAACAGAGTCATCCAGTTTGTAGATAAATTCTTAGATGAAATCCCTGACAAAACTCAACTCTAGAGAGTTCTAGGATCGTTAAATTATGTTGCAGTATTCTACCCAAAATTGAGAGAACAATGCAAACCATTATTTGATAGGCTCAAGACTAATCCCCCATCTTGGTCTCCTACTCATACTTCCATAGTCAAACAAATCAAGTTCTATGACATTACCCTGTCTTGGTATTCCTACAGTCAATTCATTCAAAATTGTTGGATCCCTCTGAAATTGGTTACGGAGGTATTCTTAAACAATCAACTCATCTCGGTTCTCCTGAACAAATTGTTCATTTCCATTCAAGAGTCTGGAATTCAGCTTAAAGTAATTATAGTACTATTAAAAAGGAAACATTATCTATAGTACTATACATATCAAAATTTCAAGATTATTATTGGTAACGTAACTATTAGCAACCATAGATACATGTTGTAATTTGTTTTGAATTTCTTGTTCGGATAAACCATATATATTTCTTTCATAGAGTTTATTTGCCGACATTGATCAGAATTGACTTTAGAAATTTCTTTCTTCAAATTGAATATCCAGAGTTGTTGGCCTTGGATACCAATTCTTGGTAAGACTAGTTGGATTTTGTGGATGCAAATTTTCGCTTTTTCCTTCTTTGACAAAATTGCACCTACAAAACAATCAATACCTTTGGTTAAGGCCAAGAGCCTCACGCACCCATGATGAATTTTTTTGAGGAGGGGGCTTTGGCCGAAGAACTTAGTTCAATCGCGGATCCAAAAATCAATTTGGTCAGTCGGCCTGAGCTAGAGACAATTCGGTGACTTGAAGTCGAGTCCGTTGAACTGATTTAGGAATTAAGATCCGGTTGGCCACGAGCTGAAGTGCGGAGCCAGGTCAGCCTGCTTGTCCTTGGGCTTTTGCTGTGTATGTTGGGTTGGCATGACTTTGGGCTTGCAAGGCCTGGACGTTTTGGTTTATAGGCCTACTGACGCATAAGTTGTCTGGGTTTGGGGTTTCTGGGTTGGAACAACAGCTTAGACTACTAGTGCTTAGGCCTCTTGGCCTTGGTTTACTGCTGTGCCATTTTGGGAGTGGACCTCAACCTAGGCTGCTGGTGCATTGGTCCTTGCCATTAGCTACTAGGCGGTGGCCACAGCAGTGGTGGTACTCCGTGGCGGCAGGGCTCCTCTTGCCGTCGCGTTAAGCCTTGAAGAACATTAGCACGGGCCACATCTTCACCTCTATCCTCTGGTTCGCATCCTTCGAACTAGGGTCTTCTTTTCGTTGTAGTTATAGGAAACATTCAATGATACTACATATGAAAAATCAAATGTAATAGAAAAATTTGAAAGCAAATTTGAGCGCCTTCTTCGAGTGTACTAAATCAGGGTCTCAATGAAAACACCAATTTATGTTAGAAAAAATCTACCGTCTTCAGTCTTAATGAATTTATACCTATAAAAAAATAAACACATTTGACTAAGGACCAAAGCCACATGCGCCCACGAGGTTGGGAAGAGGGTTGACTAATGGATCTTCAAAGCCTAATTCAGTATCTTTGAAAAGAGTGAGTGTTTAGGGCTTGTATGAGTAGCAACATGCTTATCAGAAAATGGTGTAGATGGACTATTTATAGGGAGGTGGCCAACCATAGTAGGTTTTTACCCTACATGTGGCGGCTTCCCATTGATCAAGGTCTGTCATCCGTAGGATGAATGAGGAAAAAATTATCCCTAAGTATTAAATAGGAGATAATATCTTAGAATTATCATATAATTATCCTAGATTGATTATGATGAGGATTCCTTACTTGTTTGAGTTGTTCTTCAATTATGAATATTTTAAAGATAGAATTTGGTAATTAATTCTATTTTTAATGCTTTTGACTTTCCAAACCATGAGCAAGGAAGCTTGGAGATATTGTAGTTAGCTACTCAATCCTCTAGAAATGTTGAACTGCGCGTGGGAATACTTGTGGGTCTGCCTATTTAATGAGGGTGACTTGTTCTAAATTTTTTGGATTATTTTTTGCTCCACAACTACATCAAATAACTTTGTAAATATGCCAATCATATATGACCAATATTGACATCGTTCTGGCCGTGCAAGTCGCTTTGAACCCGCTCGTACCGTGTATTTATTTTTATGATTCAGCCGTGCACTTTTAACAAGACTGCACCTAGAGGCCCCTCAGGAAGCAAAACTCACTCATTGGAAATGTTATCTTAACTCTATTCACTGAAGCGATTTAATGCTACGGTCTATTAGTATTTCCCTTTCACTTGTAAGTGAGAGGTCTTAAGTTTGGTTCTTGCCAATGGTGAATTTGAACCACATTATTGTTAATTCATTATGAGCCTAAGCTCGACCATTCTCCTTAACGTAGATAATACATTTTGTTCAAAAAAAAAAAAAAAGGAACTCTGTTCACTGAATAAAAGGGCAAGATGGGGTCTTATCCAAATTTATGGCCAAGATGTTCCCTAATCAGGTCCCATCGTATCCACTCTTCTTTCCCTCTCATGAAAAGAGTCGTTAGCAGTCATTCAGCTCTCAAACCTCCAGACCAAGAACAGATAGAGTTACAAAAATCAAATTAAGATAAATAAAAATGGCGGTTTCTTCTCTAATCCTTACAACTCCAAAGCCCATAGCCCAAATTCAACGCCCTAATCCTCCTCCTACAACCTCACTCTCCTCCTCCAAACCCACTTCCACTTGTACTTGTTCATCTTCTTCATTCTCAGCAACTGCAAACAATGAAAACAAATCTTCCTGGAAATTTTCAAATATTTTGAGCAAGAAGTCCGTAATGGATGTGGGCATGGGGCTGTTAGCAACTTCAATTATGGCATTGTCTCCTTTGGAAGCTGACGCCACGAGAATTGAGTACTACGCCACCGTGGGGGAGCCTCTCTGCGACTTGAACTTTGTTCGTTCTGGGCTTGGTTTCTGTGATGTTTCAGTTGGCCCCGGCGTCGAAGCTCCTCGCGGTGAGCTCATCAATGTGAGTTCCCAGTTTCTGCTGTCTTCAGCACTATGTTATGTCTTTTATTTCAACAAAAGAGAAAGCATACAAAATTTTTGGTTTTTCTGTTTATTTTTTATTGTTGCGTACTTTCGAATTACAAGTTTTGCTTCTTGTTAATGGATTTCAAATACAATATGATCACGAATTGCACCCAAGTTCGAATCCCCTTTTCCTTAGTGCTTAGGATAATGTAGAATATCGTCTTGTGAAACACATGCACATATATGTGATTAAAACATTGGGAAACATAGAAGTGAAGTTGGTTGCTTCAATATAGTGACCATTGATGTACCTTTGGTTTTGGGCCAATGGCTTACCAAATTAATGGTCTAGTGTGAATCGACCCAAAACAGATCAGGTACGCTCTGTTTGGAGCAGAATTTACTTCCAAGCATTAGATTATACTCGCATTTCTTCCCACTTGTGAAGAAGTTGAAACGAAACTTATTCTCCCCAGCCAAATTTGTAATGAAGTTATTCTCACCTGCCAGGGAAAAATTCTCTCCACATTACTTGGCAGACACAGGTATTCCAACTCACTTGCACCAAAATACCAAATATACAAGCAGCATCAGTTTTGGTCTATTCAACTAGTTTTGTGATACCGTGTCTGTCAATTAAATGACTGATTCCAAAAACTCAAAATTGTTCAGACAGAAATTTGACGATTGTAATAAGGCTCAACGTCAAATGCTCGCCAACTTTCTCCCTTGTGTGTAGGTCACTAGGGCTGCAAGAACTAAACAGAACTTGGCAGCACACATTTAGGAAATGGATGACCAAAATTGGCATACCAAGATTTCGATGATTGAATGAATTGATAAACAACCTTATCTCGGTACCGAGTCATTTCTCCTTTTAGAGAAGTGAAGTTATTAGCAGATATGTCTATCAAACACAACTTAATAGTCTGTTTTAACAAACACAGATTCACTACACTGCAAGATTCGCTGATGGGACAGTCTTTGACAGTAGCTACAAACGAGGCAGACCTCTGACTTTGCGTATTGGTGTTGGCAAGGTATGAAAATTTTATAGTATCAATTAGATGAGAACATTATCTCTTTTATTTCCTATATGATGACCTTAATTATGCGTGAAGCTTTTAAATCGAGAATCATACTGCGTAATGAGCATAAAAGCCACAAGAACTAGTGAAAATTCTGTCCAGATAGTCATCTTACACTTAATTTCTGCATATGGTTTCTATGAATTGCCGATTCTCTGTTCTGAGGCTGTTCCTCTTTTACGTACTTAGATGCATTTTAATCATTCTCTGAAGTCTTAACTAAAGGTGTATTCGATTTTTTCTTTGTTATCATTCTCCCATTGTTGGAATAAACTAATTATTAAGGTTTGCAATGTTTCCGGCCACAATCAACATCAGATAAAAAGAATTTTTCCGGCCACAATCAAACTGATCATGAATGATATTATCAATAGCTGATAAAGGTTTCTTGATGCCTCCATCAATATTGTAGCCTCGTCGAAGAAAACTCGGCATGACCTTTTGTAATATCAAAGTAAAAACAATAATTCGCTAGCTTGGATGTTCACTCATTTTCTCCAGTTTAAAGCAGCATCAGAATCAAACGAAACATTTTCTTTTCAGATATCTCTAAATTAAGGTTCTAAAAGATGCTAGGCGCTAGTCGGGAGCAGGTTGAAGCCTATCCCCTAGGCGGCTAGGTGGGACCTAGGAAGATTCAAGTAAATTTATTATATATTTGTATAAATAAGTGTCATTTATGCTTAAAAAACAACACACATAATTATATTGGGATACCTAAATTGCAAAATAAAATGATGTATAAATTATAAAGTATTAGAACATATTGAAAACATGGGAAATAAACATATAATGAGTGTTAATCCAAGTATTCAAAAGTCTCTTATGTGGATGCAAATTTCAGCATTGTTCTTCTTGGATGAAAATGCACCTGTAAAACAATTAACACCTTAGACAAAGGCCAAGAGCTTCACGCACCCACGATGAATGGAGGGGTTTTGGCCAAAGAACCTCCAATGCCAAAGTTAGAATTTGAGGGAAAAGTGTTTAGAGAAATTGGGAGAATTTTGCAAGAGAGTTCGAATTACGTTTTTGGGAGAAATGGAAGCTATTTATAGGGGTGTGGCCGGCCCCTATTTGGAGAAAAGGGGTCTGGCCACTTATGGTGATTTTTTGGTGTAATTGTAAGGTATTATGTCAAAATAATATCTTGCAATCAATTAGGAAATTAATTAGAAAATTAATTAGGAAATTAATCAATTAATTTAGGTAATTAATCCTATTTTGAATGAATAATTGAACGTTACCTTGTAGGGAGGATTTGATGAGGATGGATGAAATAAGATTTGAATAAATACTTATTTTATTGATTGAGTTATGATTGTCCGTTGTTTGCGTGTAAGAGTTCTGGTGTGCCTCAAGGGTAATTTTGTTATTTTTACCAAAGAATCCACGTGTCGCCTCCATATTTGTCTCAATTATTTTGCGCTCCACATCTCACATTTTATTGAAAAACTAAGATGCAAAACAAACGTTATCGCTTTTTTGTCTAAGTGAGAGTCGAGACCTAAGCAGGTGCCTAGGCGGATGCCTAAGCATGTCTAGGCGCACTATCTTAATTTTCAAATACCTAGGGACAAATTGAAACGTGCCCAGATGCCTAACATCTAGGTGGCACCAGACGGAGATTTTTAGAACAGTGCTCTAAATTGATAAAGTCATACAGTGGAGAGACTGGAGAGAGTTTTCATGAAAAGCTCAGTAAAGTGGTTGATTTCTTGGTGTTTTCCAATTTCCACATGGATGCGTTGCAACGGGTTTCAAAACACTTCAGAATTTTATCACATATTTCACCTCTTGTATTAATCAGCATTGTACTTTACTATGGCAATATCCATATATTAATTGTATTTATTATTCATTAGTTTTTCAAGCTCATCATGGTGGGTTTGAATATACAGGAGAGGAAGAGTCTTGCTTAGCTTCTTGTTTAAGGTTTTCATCCTAAATTATTAGCAATAATACTAAATGGAGAATTAACCCCTGATTCCAAGTCCAAAAATTAAGAATTAAATAAAATAAACTAATTCTAAGCTTCTCCCGTTAAATAAAAACAATTTTCGTGTTGCATTTGTCAAAATCTAAGCAGCCAAAGGCTCTAAGAAACCAGAGTAGAATAAAGAAACTAAACGAAGTACATCAAATTGTGGACCTGAGATATGCTTAGTTTTCCTTCTCTTTTGATTCTCTCGGAGTAGTGTCCGCCTCCTTACCTTCATTTATTCATGCCCATTTACCCTTATCTTATATTCTGGTGTCCAGGTTATTAGGGGACTGGATCAAGGTATTTTAGGGGGTGAGGGTGTGCCTCCAATGCAAATAGGTAAGACGATAGAGCTGGTTATGTTTCTATTTGTTTCTTGCCATTTGTGAAAGAAAAAAATAAGAAGAAACCAAATTTTAACCCATCAAATATCACACAGGGGGAAAGCGGAAGCTTCAAATTCCTTCACATTTAGCATATGGGCCAGAACCTGCAGGATGCTTCTCAGGTGAGTTTCTTTTATATTTGAAAATATTATGATTCTTTAGTCTTCCATGATTATCGTATACGACTATGTTGGTTGATTATGGTATACGCTGTCATTTCATTATTTGTAGCAAGCTGTTAGTTTGAGTAATTAGAGTTGTTAGTGATCAAGGGCTGAGATTAGATCAATTTGTAGTAGGCTCAAATGTGAGCAAGTGTCAAGATCTCATAGGGTCTTGTAACGAATGGTTGGATGAGCTCATAGGCTCTCCTAGATTCTCTCCCTCTCTAACGGTTATGTAAATGCTGATGTGATGAAATGAGCACACACAGAAGAGCACTCTAGCTCTCTCTGAAATTTTGAGCACTCTCTCTCTCTAAATCTTCTTTCTCTCTGTGCTAAATTGTTGCAAATACACCATCAAATAGTTTAGATTCTAACATGGTATCAAGAGCCTAGGTTCAATTTCGGACTGGGCGTTGATTTCTGTGAAATTGTGCGAAAGAATCCAACGAGAAAACTCTCAATTTCCTTCCGATTCAAGCTGAAATGGCTGGGTCTGGAAGCAGCGATTTACGAGCTCCCGTTTTTTATGGAACGGAGTTCGAGTTCTAGAAGGTGAGAATGGTCACCATTTTCAAATCGTATGGGATTTGGAAAGTGGTAGACAAGGGGATTACTATTCCAGAATCGAAGAAGAAGGGAGAAAAGGAAAAAACAAAGAAGGAGGATGGCAAGGAAGAATCATCCTAGTTGGACAACGTTGAAGGAGATGATGATGAGCTCAGTGCACTCGTGGAGGATCAACCAATGAAGGATGCTAAAGCATTGGAATCATTTAGAGTGTAGTCTCTAAAGAGATCTTCCCTCGGATTGTGAACCAAGAGACATCCAAGGGTGCGTGGGATCTACTCCAAGGGTGAGTAAACATGGGGATGATGCTGCAAGCTAAGAGCATGCTTTTTCACACAGGGAAATCATAGTAAGGGAAAGAAGAATTGGAAGTCTAAGCCTAAGAAATGGGAAAACAATACTCACCAGCCTGAGAGACAGGGTGAGATCACTGAGGGTGTTAAACAAACGTGCAAAATCTGTAGTGAAGGATTGTGTTGGTTTAAGGGAAAACTTAAATGCCATAATCGCAACAGATTTGGACATGTAGTGAAGGATTGTCATTAGCCTAAGAAAACATATGCTGCAAACTATTTGAACCATGTTCAGGACAATGCAATGATGTTCTATGCTTGCCATAAGGCCTCTGTGCAAGAAAATAGTGGTGTTTGGTGTCTGGACAGTGTTTGTAGTAACCCCATGACTAGTACTGAATCATTGCTTATCAACATTGACAGGAGTATAAGGTGTAATGTGAAAATGGGCATAGGGGACTTGGTTGATTCAATTGGGAAAGGGACACTGGTAGTGGAGACTAAGAGAGGAACTAGGTATATACCAGAAGTCATGATTGTACCTGGTTTAAATGAGAACCTTCTCCGTGTAGGCCAAATGGTAGAACATAGGTAATGGCTAGTATTTGGTGATTTCATGGCTTGCATATTTGGTGACAGGGAACTACAAGACCATGTTGTTATTGTGCAAATGAAGGGAAATATATGTTTCCCTCTAATGTTTGAATCTATGGATCACATTGTAGCAAATAGTGCAACTATTGAAAGATATACATGGAAATGGCTCAGAAGATTTGGGCATCTGAACTATGATAGTTTGAGAATGATGCAAGAAAGGTGCATGGTGTTTGGTCTGCCTCACCTACAAGAGCACAATCAGGTGTGTGAAGGGTGTGCCACTGGAAAGGCTCATAAAGAGGCCTTCAAAAAAGAACAGAGATGGAGGGCAACATTTCCACTAGAACTTGTACACACATATGTGTATGGACCCATGAGTAAGATTTTTGGTGGCAGTAGATACTTTCTTACCTTCATCAATGACAAGTCAAGAATGTGATGGGTCTATTTCTTGAAGTATAAGTCTGAGGTATTCAGAATTTTTAAAATGTTCAAGGCTATGGTTGAACTACAAACTGGTCACAAGTTAAAAAAGCTCAGAAGTCATAGGGGAAGAAAGTATACATCTTTGGAATTTGAGAAGTTTTGTGAAGATGTTGGTATTGAAAAGCAATTCACTGTTGCTTATTCTCCCCAGAAAAATGGCATTGTTAAGAGGAAGAATCGTACCATTGTAGAGATGGCAAGAACCATGCTCTATAAAAAGAAGCTACCACTCAAGTTCTGGGGTGAGGCAGTTCACACTGTTGTCTACCTACTTAATAGGTGTCCTACAAAAGCATTGGAAAACAAGACTCCCTTTGAAGAGTTTTGTGGTAGAAAACTAGGAGTAAAGCACTTGAGAATTTTTGGTTTTGTGTGCTACACTCATGTTCCAACTCAGTTAAGGCAAAATTGGATGAAACTGGACAAAAAGGTGTATTTGTTGGATATAGGACAAAAGAGATGGGCTATAGAGTGTATGATCTAAAAAGCAACAAGATCATTGTTTCCACAAGTGTCATTTTTTATGAAGATGCGGTGCTCAATTGGGAGAATATGGAGATAGTGCATATCCCTTTGCCCTATTCAGATGTTGATGAAGGTGTAAGCATAACTGAGATTGAAAATGGTGTATATGAGGAATCTAATATTGATTCTTCTAAGTCGAATGATTTAACCACAGGTGAAGAGTGTATTACTGGTGTACACAGTAATGTTTCTAATGCTATGAATGTGGAGAGTGAGATCCAACTCCCAGTAACTTATGACAATACACCAATGAAATGGAGAAACTTGAGTGAAGTGTTTGCTTAGTGTATACTCAGTGTCATTGACCGTGAGAACTACAATGAAGCCTCTCAAGATGAAGCTTAGAAGAAAGCAATGAATGATGAGATCACTATGATTGAGAAGAATGGTACTTGGAAATTGGTTAATAAGCCAAGTAATAAACCAATTGTTTGAGTAAAGTGGATTTTCAAAACCAAGCTGAATCTAGATGGCGCTATACAAAAACACATGGCAAGATTAGTTGCCAAAGGGTACACTCAAAAGCTTGAGATTGATTTTAATGAGACTTTTGCACCTGTGGCTAGATTAGACACTACGAGTACTCTCATTGCTTTGGCAGCATAGAATGGGTGGAAATTGTTCCAGTTAGATGTGAAGTCTACTTTTCTGAAAGGGATCCTTGAAGAAGAAGTGTATATCGATCAACCAGATGGGTATCTTGTCAAAGGAGAATAACACAAGGTATACAAGCTAAAGAAAGCCTTGTATGGACTGAAGCAAGCTCCCAGAGCTTGGTATAACAACATTGACACCTACTTGGTGCAGTGTGGGTTTACAAAAAGTCCAAGTGAATCTACTTTATATGTGAAGCATAAGGAAGGACATGGAACTTTAATTGTTTCAATATATGTGGATGACATTGTCTACACGAGAAGTTGTTCACAAATGATTGAAGATTTCAAATGTGACATGATGAGAGTGAATCTACTATATATGTGAAGCATAAGGAAGGACTGTAGACATCGAAACTTTAATTGTTTCAATATATGTGGATGACACTGTCTACATGAGAAGTTGTTCACAGATGATTGAAGATTTCAAATGTGACATGATGAGTAAGTATGAGATGACAGACTTAGGACTGTTGCATCATTTTTGGGAATTAGAGTTATTCAACAAGAAGGGAGCATATTCATTCATCAAAAGAAATATGCATTGAGTTTGATTGACAAGTTTGGATTGAAGAATTGCAAATCTGTCTCAATCCCTCTACCCCCTACTGATAAGCTAAGGAAATATGATGGGAGTGAGGTTGCAGATGAGGAATTGTATAGAAGAATTGTTGGCAACCTTCTGTATTTGGACAACAAGGCCTGATATCATGTACTCAGCCTGTGTACTTGCCAGATGCATGCATTGTCCTTTCACCAAGCATCTTGGCACTGCCAAGAGGATCCTGAGATATGTGCAAGGAATTATGGATTATGGAATCAAGTATAAGAAAGGAAATGCATCCTTGCTTATAGGTTTCTGTGACAATGACTGGAGTGGGGATGAAAATGACATGAAATCCACATTAGGCTATGCTTTTAGCTTTGGTAGTGGTGCTTTCTCTTGGGCCTCTATATAGCAACAAAGTGTTGCACTCTCAACTGCAAAAGCCAATTATATGAGTGCCTCTGAAGCTACTACTCAAGCCATATGGCTGAGATTTGTGTTGCATGATTTTGGTGAAGAACTGATTGAACCAACCCTCTTGATGAGTGAGGAGCAATTGGCAGACATCTTCACCAAAGCTTTGGCAAAAGACAGATTATGTGCTTTGAGGGACAAGCTTGGAGTAATTTCAGTCAAGACGTTAGAAGGGAGTGTTGGTTGATTAAGGTTTAAACTGTCATTTCATTATTTGTAGCAAGATATTAGTTTGAGTAATTAGAGTTGTTAGTGATCAAGGGCTAAGATTAGATCAATTTGTAGTAGGCTCAGCAAGTGTCAAGATCTCACAGGGTCTTGTAATGAATGGTTGGATGAGCCCATAGGCTCTCCTAGATTCTCTCCCTCTCTAACGGTTATGTAAATGCTAATGTAATGAAATGAGCACACGCAGAAGATCATTCTAGCTCTCTCTGAAATTCTGAGCACTCTCTCTCTCTCTCTCTCTCTCTCTCTCTCTCTCTCTAAATCTTCTTTCTCTCTGTGCTAAATTACTGCGAATACACCATCAAATAGTTTAGATTCTAACAGACTCTTGTTGTCAACCAAAATCATCATCAGAAACTTGAAACTTTCTATGATCTTACAAAAGACATCATTGAATCATTATCATCCTCACTATCTGTGTACATGTAGAAATACTAGGTATATACGATCAGTTAACTTTGCGGTACAAAACTCTTGTCGATATCGGCTACCATAATTTCTTAGAAAAGTAAAAACTGGATGTCAAGTACAGTTACTTATATCGATGGTATAATGATGATGTATGCTACAGTTTCTCGAAATCTGAGGCTTGCTAATTTATTCCTAGAGCTTAAGGTGAAAAACTAAAATAATTTAAACATACAGTCAGTCGTTTTGAGTCTTGGAAACTATCAGAAACTAATATATGTATATCTTTTATAGGTGACTGCAATATACCTGGAAATGCTACTCTTGTCTACGATATTAATTTTGTTGGTATCTACTCGGGAAATAGAGCATTGCCAGGCAAATAGATAGAACACGCCCTTAGATCCTTGCATCTCCCGACTTCCTGATACTAAGCTTCCATTGTTAAATACAAGCTGAGGCAGGAATTCAAAGTCATACATATAATGGTGCGCCTTCTTTTTCTACGCTTGGCTTGCTAAATGGAGATGTATCGATCCCATCCGTGTTGGTATCGCCCCACCTAAGCATTCTACCTTACATTTTATGTATATAGATTTACCTTTGTGGAACATGGGACGATTCATATTAATAAACATGCTTATCTTATGTGATCGAAACACTTGGAAAGAATGGCTTGTACCTAATTTGTGTACAACTATAAAAGTAGGTTTTATAAAAGATGCTCAGCCAAATCTTTTGGATTGGTTTGCTACGTAGAGATATGTTGCTGCTGAGACCATAGCTTTTGTCTTGAATATCTAAATTTGATTAGGGTTTTAAGTCCGAAAGTTTGGAGAAGGACCTCACTGCTTAGCTTAGCTGCTCTCTCATTGCTGAAACTGTTCTGGTCACTTTTATTAAGGAGGCAAAAGCACGTGCCAACTCTAGGTTGAAAGTTGAAATGCATGACATAATGTGATTGTGAGTACCGCCATAGTTTAGGATTTAGGAGAATGATTTCAGCACTCCGCTTTTGGCCTCTTGCACACCTTTCTTTTTTCTTTTTTCTGTTTAGCAATTGGGTCGAATGAATGATAAGTGAATCAACGGACATAACTAAATAGAGAAGTGCAGAAGATCAAAAGGGTGTGTGGGGAAATGACTTCCCCTATAACAATCGGGTTGTTTTTCATTTCCGGTTGGTAAATATGTACATGAAATAGCAATAGAGCAATGTGCTTGACAGCCAACACTACTACAAAAAACACTTTGTGCAACAAAATTTTGGTTGTGCATGGTTCGTTGCGCAAAGCTCGTGAAGATAGGGTTTGCGCGACAAAAATTAATCTTGGTCGCGCGAACGAAAATATTTTTTTTTTAATTTTTTTCATTAAAATAAATTAATTTAATATTTTACGCAACAAAATATTTTGTCGTGCAAGGTTTTTGATTTTTTGTTTTATTATTTCTCTTATATTAACTATTTGCGCAGCAAAATAGTGGCAGGGGATATGTTTCGATAGCATCCTAATCCTCAACTTTAGCCGTCAAAGACTCGACAACTCCTTAAAAAAAAAAAAAACAAAAAAACAAATATGGTCAAATAACAAAAAAATAACATAAAATAATACCAAAAAATTGGCATAATCTCCCCTAAAATTGGTATACGCCAAACCCGACCCAAACTCCACTCCTCACCCTATACTCGACCTCAAACCCCCCACCAAAATCAAAACTAACTCCAAAAACACATATTAATGAAAAAAAAATTAAAATTTGGGGAGAATATACCTTTTGGCAAGATTGAGAGTGAGAGAATGAGAGGGAGGAGTGTGTGTGAGAGAATTAGAGGAGATAGTGAGAGAGAGATGAGAGAGTGAGTGAGAGTGAGAGATAGTGAAGAGAGAGAAGAGAGAAGAGAGATTAAGTGAGAGGAGTGAGTGTGAGAGAGAGGGTCGGATTTGGGGAGAGGGAAAGAGAGAGGAGAGGCAAGAGCAGAGAAAGACATTGAGAAAATGGTGGAGGAGTTATTTTGGTTTTAAAAACAATATCACTTTGCATAACGAAGCATACGAGTTTGTGCAATGAAATATTGGTCACGCAAAGTCTCAAAAAAAATTTAAAAAAAAAATTCCCGCGTCCCATTTTTTGTGCCTGCCCAAAATTTTAGAGATTTTCGCGACAAAGTGTTGGTCACGCAAAGTTATGCGTGACGAAATATTGGTTGCACAAAATCTTAAAAAAATATTTAAAAATTCCCGTGTCCCATTTTTGGCTCCCATCCAAATTTAAGGATTTTGTGTGACGAAATATTGGTCATGCAAAGTCTTAAAAAAAAAATTTTAATTTGTTGCATCCCATTTTTGGTGCCCGCCCAAATTTTTAGAGTTTTGCGTGAGGCGCGACGAAAAATTGGTCATACAAAGTCTTAAAAAGAATTTTTTTTTAAATTCCTGCATCCCATCTTTGGCTCCCGTCCAAATTTAAGGATTTTGCATGACGAAATATTGGTTCATCGTGCAAAATTAAATTTTTTTTATAAAAAATAAAAAGAAAATAATTTTATTTTACAGTTTAAAATATAAATAAATTAAAATAAATAAGGTTGAGGCGACCAAATGTGTATTGGTCGCGCAAAGAAAACAATAAAAAAATAAAGAAATAATTTAGTTTAACAATATAAAATATAAAAATAAAATATAAAAATAAGTAAATAAGGGTTAAGCGACCAAATATTGATATTCATCACGCAAAGGTTTTTAAAAAAAAATAAAAACTTATGAAAATAATTATATTTTAAAATTTATAATATAAAATTAAATAAAAAAACAAAATTAAATTGGTTTGCGCGATGCATGTATACATTATGACGCCGTGCTATTGGTTTTGTACAACGGCCCCATTGTGGCATCACACAAGTTATATTTTTTTAAAAAAAAAAAAATTATTATAAAGTTTACTGAAAATGTGATTTTGATGGGATATGCATTCTACAAAACTAGTTTCAACGATCCAACCGTCAAACTTGTTTGTATATACTTCAAGATCGCATATGCCAAAAATCACGAAAAACAAACATTTAGAGATCAAGTAACGGGACAAAACTTCTCTACAGTTATAACGAAAAATCATGATTTAACTGTTATTTTAACTCCAATTTTGATACTTTTTTACAGCTACACTCATTGACCATATATGAATACAATGCCTGAATTCAAGCTTCAATTTAAAATATTTACACTAGTGGATACCACAAAATCTTATGTTATACTTAATGAAAGTATAAATAAACTGTAAGTGTTAGTGAATCTATTGTTTTGATGGGATATGCATTCTACGAAACTAGTTTCAATGATCCAACTGTCAAACTTGTTTTTATATACTTCAAGATCGCATACGCTAAAAAACACAAAAAACAAACATTCAAAGATAAAGTAACGGGACAAAACTTTTCAACGGTTATAAATGAAAATACATGATTTAACGGTTATTTTAACTCTGATTTTGATGATTTTTTACAGCTACACTCCTTGATCCTATATGAATACAATGAATTAATTCGATCGTCAATTTAAAATAACTACAATAATAACTTTATATTTATCCTCATCTGAACTACAATAATAACTATCGTTATCCTCACTACTCGCTATCCTCACTACTTAATAAATATATATACCATTCAAATAGTCTTTGCACAACGGTGAACAAAATTTCGCACAAAGGCCATTTGCGCGACACGGTTGGTCCGTAACGCAATTTTCTGTCACCAAATCAAGGTTTTTACTGTTTTTTTTTTCAAACATTTGTGCAACGCGGTTGGTCCGTCGCACAATTTTCTGGCGCCAAACCAAAACTTCATAATAAAAACTTATGAAAATAGCTATATTTTAAAACTTATAATATAAAATTAAATAAAAAAACAAAAATAAATTGGTTTAGGCGAAAAAATATTTGGATTACGTCACGCTAAGATTTAAAAAATAATAATTTTTTTATTTTATTTATTTTTGTTAAGACTTTGAGCAACGATGTGTGTTTCCTTGCACAAAGTGTTTTTTTTAGTAGTGCAAATAGCTTACTTGATTAATCAGTAGCTTACTTACTTTAGGAATATGCAATTCTCACTTCTCACTTTTTCTACTTTACCCTTCTATGCTATATACTGTGCGCGCTTTGTGCCTTTATACTCAAATTTAACTTTACATCTCTAACAAACTTCATTTTCGAGCTCATCTTTCTCCATCGTAATTTCTACTTGTATCGTTGGATAGGTTATTGAAGTGGTATAAACTAACATAAAAATTCAACTCTTTAAATTATGCAATCGTAGTACAAGTAAGTAGGGATCGTTCTATTCTGGGGATTAGAAGGGATGCTAACCAACACAAATTAAACTTAACAAACTGAAAACTAAGTTAAACTAACAATAAAACAATGACTGGGGGGATTTTGGATGAATTTAATTAAAACAAAAGCAAATGGAAGCAAGTAAATTAAGTTGTGAATGAAATATGGTTGAAAGAATAGTTAAAGGATTCTTCTCCACACATCATATGCATACAAATTGATTTCTAGTTATTCTTTCTATAAACCATGAATGACAATGCCCCAAATTAACTGTGTATAACACTAATTAACTCTCAGATTTTCCTAAGTTCATTGAATTGGACTCAGCAATGCAACCAAATTATTCTTCTCAAGTTCCCTAACTATGAAAAGCACTATGAAAAGCATGATACTCTTGCCAAGAATTTACCTAACTCAGTCATGACTAGTGACTTTTATTACTTACAAATATAAGTTCTTAACGATTAGGTGAAATTTCCTTATATTATAGTATCAAATCCCTGCATGCAGACTAAGTATGCATCCTTAATAAACATACAAGAATAAGTTTTCTATAAAACAGCACTAGTAGAAAAAACACTTTGCGTGACGTAGGTACCTTCGTCGTGCAAAGTCAAAAATCGTTGCCTAAGGGTTTGTGCAACGCAACCTTCGTCGCGCAAAAACCGTCGCGCCAAGACGGTGACAGTAGAGTTTGCGCGACGAAGATATAACCTACTTCGCGCAAAGACGCTTTGCGCGACGTATGTCCTACGTCGAGCAAGGCCACTTTGCGCGACACAGAACCTACGTCGAGCAAAGTGTCCTTGCGCGACGCATGGCCTACGTCGAGCAAAGAGTCTTTGCGCGACATAGGACCTATGTCGTGCAAAGTGGCCTTGCGCGAGGCAGCACGTAAGTCATGTAAAGTGTCCTTGCGCGACGCATGGTCTACGTCGAGCAAAGATCCTTTGCGCGACATAGGACCTACGTCATGCAAAGTGGCCTTGCGTGACGCAATACCTACGTCGAGCAAAGTGTCCTTGCGCGACGCATGGTCTACGTCGAGCAAAGATCCTTTGCGCGACACAGGACCTACGTCGTGCAAAGTGGCCTTGCGTGACGCAATACCTACGTCGAGCAAAGTGGCCTTGCGCGGCGCATGACGTACGTCGAGTAAAGGATCTTTGCGCAACTCAAGGCCTACGTCATGCAAAGTTGCCTTGCGCGACGCCACCAACGTCGCGCAAACCTCTTTTCTTTTTCTTTTTTTATGTTTTATTCAAAACTAATTTTTTTTAAAAAAAAAATTTTTGATAAATATATTACAATTAAATTGTAAAGAATAATTAATTAACCAAGCAAAAGTATTTAATTATAAAATATATAAAAATGTACATAGAAGATGTCCAAACAAAAAAGAAAAAACTACAAGTGAACTAGGTATAAAACATCAAGCTACTGAGTATCGGGAGGGTGAGGTGGCGCTGAGGTCGAAGGTGGATTAAGATGAGGTACTGGTAGCGAGACTTGTAGGCCAGCCGTCTGTATGGCTCGTACAAGGTCTCTCACCGTCTCAGCATAGGTCCTCACCTCCTCATTCTGGGCCCTCAGCTGCGCTTTCATCTGATCGTCCTGGGCCCTCATCTGCTCCCTCATCTGATCGCTTTGGGCCCTCATCTGCTCCCTTATCTGCTCGCCCTGGGCCCTCATCTGCTCCCTCATATGCTCTTCCTGCATCGCAAGCTTACCCCTTAAGGTTGTCACTTCCTCCATCAATGCATCAACCTCTGCTGTGTTCGATCTGGAAGAAGAGGCACCCATCTGACGAACTCGTGATTTCCCCATACCCCGAACAACTTGGCCATGACGACGACCAAGGTTCTGATCCAGGACTTCAGTCATGATCTGAAAACCTACATCCTCTGGTACCATGACCTCCTCGATCGAAGTCTCTGGGGGAAGCTACGATGCTGCTTCTTGGAGAACAGCAGTGCTCTTTTCCACCATAGTATCATGTAATAATGAAGAAAAAACATATAATGTTTAATAACAAAATATAAATAATATTTGAACAATTCATACATATGAGAATAATAATAATAATTACATATACTTACATAAAACTGCTCAGCGGTTTCATTACCAGGGCGAACGTAAACGTCCTTGAACATGTCGATCTCTGGGAACTTAGAACCCTCCTGAAGAAAAAAAAAACATTAAGAAAATTTTATTAATCAATAATAATAAATAAATTGTATAAAATTTCAAGGTTAATATAGTTTTACCTGACGTCGTTCCTCAAGCCTATACGAAAAGGGCTTCGAACCAGAATGGTGGAGAAGTATCTTTGACTCCCGAGCTTTCTGGCCAGCAACAGATTTCTTCTGTTAAACACACAATATACATGTTAGTGCGACTATTGAAATAAATTAATAAAAAAAGCTTTAAAGAATAACTAAAACAATAATAAATTATTATTAAAATATTATGTACATACCACAAAATTTGGGTCCGTAAAATGCTTACAGAGCCACTCCCAATCCTCAGGCCAGTCCTTCAACTCGCTTGGAACATGTAAGCGAGCAATCTCCAGATTATCCCATTTCTTAAAATAATTGTGAAAATTGTTCTTCCAATGTTTGTACCGGATTGATAAGGTCCTCTCTAAGTAGGCCATTGCCTCGAGGGATATGTCATCAAGATCATAAATGAACTACGAATATGAAAAATAATAAAATAATAGTAAGAAATTTAATAATATTAAAGATAATATATTTTGATTTTTAATATTTGTAAACAAAATTAAACAAAATGATAAAGGCTAAAAATTAATATACTAACCGACAACTCGTGTCGCACCAGTTCCTTTGTGTCCTCGGGAATTTCTGCCCAAGACTCCCACTGAAAAGGACAATTGTCTCGAATAACAACACCACAGCTACTAGCGATGAAGCTATGCTGCTGTGAGGTAGCCGCTCCACGATGTCGCAGGTCATACACAATCTTAATCTTGGAGGCGGTCTGACGTACGTTTTGTTTCTGCTTCAACATTCGACTAGGCCCCCTGGTGTTTTTTTAGCTGGCCAAAAATACTTAAATAGTGAAAACCTTAAGCTTAAATTTGTACAAAAAATTCGACACAACCTCCCCTAATAGTATAGCATTTTCCAAAATCTTAAAATAATAAAATAACAGTAATTCACAACTTGCAACACATTTTTACAATCGAACATATTTTCACCATCATAAAAATAATAATTTTAAAATGAAAAAAAAAATGCAACGTAGTGAGAATTAGAAAAAAGGTACCTGGCTGGGAGGCCTCACCCTCGACTCTGGATGCCGAGGAAGTGTGATTAGAAGGCTCTGGCTCGCGGTGGCGCCGATGAGGCCGCCGTGCACTGAGCGGCTGAACCGACACTGATGATGTCGATGAGACGGGCACCTGAGACGCCGTAGAAGTAGCCTCAGCAAGGGGTGTAGGCTCTTGAATCAATGGAGCACTCATGGGTGGAGCAGTAGATGCTGATAATGCGGGAGACGCATTGGTCACACTGCGACATCTATACACTTTTTAAACCATAAAAATATAACATTAGAAACTAATCCTTTCTTGCATTTGAAACTAATCACCACTTGGACTAATAAAAGTGAATACATTCTTGCGCCATGAAGTAAAGACACAAGAAAACCAAATGTACAGAAACACATGTTGGACTTCATCACTTTGAAGTTCAAGTATGAGAACTACATCAAGTCATCTAAATGGCGTTTAATCCAGAACTTATGAATGATATTATTCAACTCTCTTCATACTTAATCATGTCCTCCTTACACCTCCCCACTAGATAGAGAATGGAAAAACATGTGTTCAACCCCCCCCCCCCCAAAACCTAAAAGGAAAAAAAAAAAAAATCCTAATTCCACTAAACTTTTTCAAACAATTTATTCTCAATAATGTTCAAATTAATATAAATTACCTTATTTTCCCCAAATAAAAGTAGAAACCACATTACTTTCAATCTCAATGGCGTTTAATCAACTAAACTAACCTTATTTCCCCAAATGAAGGTAGAAAGCACCATTAGTTTCGATGAACACAATATACAACTATGCACATCAATGATTTCAGTTTAAATGTACAAACAGATATGAAGAGAAAACACACATGATAATTCGACATTTTAAAAGTTTCAAGCTTTTGCTTCTACGCAACATGGGTTAACCAACTTACAGAACACATAACACCATCAACAAGCCACAATCTTGTCACAACTACATAAATACATAACAACTTACACTTCTACGCAATATGTATATCATTACAGAACACATAACACTTCTACGCAATATATATATCATTACAAAACATTGGAGAAAATTTTGACCATGAGGCTTATTATGATATGGCTACGTTATTAGCCATATTTCCTTATAAATGTTATTGACTTTATAACTGGCTATATATAAAGGTGATGGCCAACAATCGTCTGCGTTGCAAAATGACAAGTGGTGTCATCTCCTCTGTTGATAGAGGAATACTATTTGGGTAGATGCGTAGCATGAAACATCTGGAGATCTCTTACTTTATCTTGGACTCTTCAAGAAAGAATTAGTCTTTATCGTGTGGTCATGGAGGAAGTGTTGGACCTTATCTAGAACTTGGGAACCCTCCCCTCTTACTCGCATGCCCTATGGGCTCTAGTGTGCAGGGGGTAGTCCACTGCTCCCTCCCGGAGGGGAGTGGGGTGATATGTTGAGGGGTCAAGCGTTCTGCTGAAACATTTTTCTATTAATTGGGCATTGAGTCTAATAGGGCCATCAAGTAACCCAATAAATGAACAGAGCAACCAAGGGTAGAAATCCTATCCACCACTTGAAAATCAGCAAAGAAAAATAAACGAGTAAATAGAGATCTCCAGATGGATACTCCATTTATATAGGAAAAGCCAAGGTATCACATGGTTGGTCTTAGTTGGATTTTATAACATTGTTAGAAACTTTTCAGCCCTGAACCAAAAGTTTATACATTTTAGTTCTGAAAATTTTCCAAATAAGTCATTAAAGGAATCAAAATTCTGTATGAGGTGACTGCCTCTAATTTTTCCAAATAATTAGTCTTTTTTTTCTGAAATTATGAAGATAAAAAGCAAGAAAGTAAGCAAAACCCTGATCGAAAACAGTGAGAGTTCTATACCACAGACACAGAACACTTAATAAGGTAAAAACCATCAAGGAAAAACACCAGTGAAGTTGTTGCCGCTTATGCAGTCAAGGTATCGTCTGAAAAAGAAAAAGAAAACGGATGGCAAGCAATTCCAAAACCAAAGGGACAGTCGTCAAAAGATCCTACTATCTGTCAACATCATCTTGATCTTTGGTTCTATGAAAGTGAAACAGAATATGATAAAACTATAAACATGTACCTAATGAAGCTATATCCATGTATTTGTCACTGAAGGCATTTTAAGTTCATCAGCCGCATATGCATCCTTAATTAAAATCAAATTAATAAAAGCCTGTTAAAAAGGTCCTTAATTAACACGGCATATGCATCCTTAATTAAAATCAAATTAATAAAAGCCAATTTCATGTTCATACACAAAACACATATACATCAACAAAATACTCAGAAATCAACTTGCAATTTGAGCCTAAACCCTAAATAACAAAAACCCATCGAAAATCAGAAACCCTTACCTTGATTTTGGGACTTGATTCGCGTCGGCTTCGAGATTTGTGTGAAGCCTACTGGGCGCGCCAAAGCTCACCGAGCACAATTAATGAATATACCCAAAAAATCCTCAAGAATTTCAGTGAAGGATTTGCCTTTTTGAAAGTTGTTGAAGCTGGTCTTAAGCATGTACTCCACATCTTCCGGGTAGACTGTGACTACGTTCCGCAGTGTGCTGGAGCGGGCCACGACGATGGCGTTGGTGGTTGATTCTGCAAGGAGGTCAGTGTACCAATTCAAGATGCGGTTGCGGTTGTTGTAGAAGGAAATGAAGCACCCGATGATGGGATAGCTCGGTGGACCTTGGCACGAAAACTCATAGACTCGCAGGAATCTCGAAAAAAGCGCATGCAAAACATAGAGAATCATTGCAAAGAAAACAAAAAAATGTAGGATGCGTGAAGAGTGATATGAAATTCCCCATCTTAGACATCGTTTGGGTTCAAGATTTGTTAAGAGGAAAGACAGGTTTGGGTTCGAGATTGTGAAGAGGAAAGATTTGGGGTTCAAAATTTATGAAGAGGAGAGAAGGAGATCTGGGGTCTACAGGAAAAAAAAGGGGATGGGATTCTGGGTTCAAGATTTGTGAAGAGGAAAGAGGGAGATAAAGAGGGATGGTTCAAGATTTCTGGGTTATGTTCGAATAGAAGGAGGAGGGTTCGAATAGAAGAAGGAGAGGGAGATAAAGAATTAAGGGTTGTCATTTGGGTTCGAATTGAGGGAGATAAAGAGGGCAAAGTGGAAAATTTTGGAAAAATTGAAAAAAAGCGCCTAATTTTCACCATTGAACCGCCAAAATTAGCACACCTTGCGCGACGTAGGTGTTTAATTCGACGTCGCGCAAAGTTGTTTGCACGACGATCGTACTAAGGCGTCACGCAAAGTATTTAATTGGAAAAAAAATCATTATAAAAATTACCGAAAATGTGACTTTCCTCCTTTCAAATTCAATTTTTTTTTAAACATAAACCCCACAATAATATATTTTTCTAACAAAAACCCACAATAATTTTTTTTTTCATATATACAGTCAATTTGTTAAGTATTATAAGTACGAAATAAATAAATAAATTAAAATCTACTTAGTAAATATATATACTGTTGAACTTCATAAGAAAAGAATCGTATGAAACTAGTTTCAAAGATCCAACCGTCAAACTTGTTTGTATATGCTTCGAGATCGCATCAGCCAAAAATCGGAAAAAATAAACATGCAGAGATAAAGTAACGGGACAAAATTTTTCAACGGTTATAAACGAAAAATCACGATTTAACGGTTATTTTAACTCCGATTTTGATGATTTTTTATAACTACACTCCTTGACCCTATATGAATGCAATGAATGAATTCGATCTTCAATTTAAAATATTTACACAAGTGGATACCACAAAATCTTATGTTATACTTAATGAAAGTATAAATAAACTCTAAGTGTTAGTCAATCTATCGTTTTACGAATTCTCCAAAACTAATTTCAACGATCCAAACCCTCAAAATTGTTTGTATATGCTTGGAGATCACATCAGCAAAAAATCACAAAAAAAAAACATTCAGAGATCAAGTAACAGGACAAAGCTTTTCAACGGTTATAAACGAAAAATCACGATTTAACGGTTATTTTAACTCCGATTTTGATGATTTTTTATAACTACACTCCTTGACCCTATATGAATACGATGAATGAATTCGATCTTCAATTTAAAATATTTACACAAGTGGATACCACAAAATCTTATGTTATACTTAATGAAAGTATAAATAAACTCTAAGTGTTAGTCAATCTATCGTTTTACGAATTCTCCAAAACTAATTTCAACGATCCAAACCGTCAAAATTGTTTGTATATGCTTGGAGATCACATCAGCAAAAAATCACAAAAAAAAACATTCAGAGATCAAGTAACGGGACAAAGCTTTTCAACGGTTATAAACGAAAAATCACGATTTAACGGTTATTTTAACTCCGATTTTGATGATTTTTTATAACTACACTCCTTGACCCTATATGAATACGATGAATGAATTCGATCTTCAATTTAAAATATTTACACAAGTGGATACCACAAAATCTTATGTTATACTTAATGAAAGTATAAATAAACTCTAAGTGTTAGTCAATCTATCGTTTTACGAATTCTCCAAAACTAATTTCAACGATCCAAACCCTCAAAATTGTTTGTATATGCTTGGAGATCACATCAGCAAAAAATCACAAAAAAAAACATTCAGAGATCAAGTAACGGGACAAAGCTTTTCAACGGTTATAAACGAAAAATCACGATTTAACGGTTATTTTAACTACGATTTTGATGATTTTTTTATAACTACACTCCTTGACCCTATATGAATACGATGAAAGAATTCGATCTTCAATTTAAAATATTTACACAAGTGGATACCACAAAATCTTATGTTATACTTAATGAAAGTATAAATAAACTCTAAGTGTTAGTCAATCTATCGTTTTACGAATTCTCCAAAACTAATTTCAACGATCCAAACCCTCAAAATTGTTTGTATATGCTTGGAGATCACATCAGCAAAAAATCACAAAAAAAAACATTCAGAGATCAAGTAACGGGACAAAGCTTTTCGACGGTTATAAACGAAAAATCAAGATTTAACGGTTATTTTAACTCTGATTTTGATGAATTTTTATAGCTACACTCCTTGACCCTATATGAATACAAAGAATGAATTTGATCTTCAATTTAAAATATTTACACTAGTGGATGTGGATATCACAAAATCTTATGTTATAATTTATATACTTAATAAAAGTATGAATCAACTATAATATTAATAATTATATACATTAATTTAATAATTTTATATCCCTAAAAAGTAAAAACTATAATAATTATATAGATGTAGGTGTAAATTGAATACAATTTCATGATGATCGATGTAAATTGAAGATTTTGTAAATGGAGGTGTAAACTTTTGAGAAAGACTTACAATCTTAAAAACAAAAACTCTTTATCCTTGCACATTTAATATTTGTAATATATTAGTAGTGTATGTATTATTTTTTTTATTAGGCTTTTATTTTCGAGTGTAGATATAGTACTTGAACGAGAAATGTTTTAATGTTTTGAAGTAATATTTATGTGGCAATGTGTGGTATGTGCAAATTTAAAAAAAATATATTTTTTTGTAAATGGAGGTGTAAATGGAGGTGTAAACTTTTGAGAAAGACTTACAATCTTAAAAACAAAGTCCGTATGCCTTTTTTTTCCCTAAATTTTAAAGAGCAAATGAATATGCAGTCATGTGTCTCAAGTTTGCAAACACACTTTCAGCCAATTTCAACCCCAAAACCAAACACCAAACCAAAATTATCATGCAAATTTCTGCCCTCTCCACCATTTTCCAAGGTAAATTAGTGACTCAAATGGGTCCTTAAGACAGGACCCCTCTGCATCTATATGTATACTACACTACACAAACTTCACATTCATTTAACCATGAGAGGGCATGGCCTATAGCTCATCGCTCAGCTGGCCATTTTAGACCCCGATACAAAAAAAAGGCACTCAAAATTTTATGTATGACACAAACGATGACAACATGTTTAAGCTTAAGTTGCCAAAACTGGAACTCTCTTGATTCCTGTAATGTTCGAGCGAGAAGCATAGCTGCCTTATAGATATACGCTCATTGGCATGCT